CCCCAAAACCCCAAAACCCCAAAACCCCGATCTGAAAAGGCCCAATTGAGCTTATTTTCTAGGAAGATGATTTCTGGATATCCAATTGCTATCCATCAAGAAGGCTTGATGTTTGACCCATTCAGTGACCATATGGCCAACACCGTGGATGATGATCAAGTCGAGGTTGTCTGCTCAGGATTCAGTGTAGCCTCCAAGAAGCAAGGGTTTGAAGGACCAAGTCTTCCTTTCTTTAATTACTGGCCATCCGAGATCAGCCATTCATCTCTGGGTACCAATGGTTGGTACTTTAGCATCGATGGTTCCACTGTAGTGCATCATTCTGTATCTTCCTTTGAGCAAGGGATATATCCACTGAGTGGCTACTTCAGGCATTTTATACTCGAGAGTACTGAAATCTCCCATGAATATTCAGCAGGGATATGTAAGGAATCCTTTACATCTTTCTGATTTATATATCTCTTGATTGGAACAATACCGTTCGTGCTCTGAACTCTAGATCTTTCAATTTTGAAAAATGAATTGACAGATCAGGTATTTCTTGAATCTGAGGATAGAAAACTCTGGGTATTTTCAATCTGAACTGATCCATAATATTCATCTGGAGGTCTATATATGTCGTATATGTTAAAATTAGCCATAGCGACATTGAATTTTTTTAATAAAGCTTCGCATTTATCAAATAGCTCTTCAACGCAGAAATTTGAGAAGTCACAGCCAGATTTTTGGATTCTTTCTTGAAGCTCCAGGTTGATCAAGCCATAAGCAAATGCTAATTCCATGAATGCAGGGGTACCATCATGATTCCAATTTGTGACACAGTTGCTAATCAAGAATCCTTTGAGGTTGATCTTTTCTTCTGCTTCTTGATTATCCTCATCTATTCTGAGGTCAGGTACGGAACAGAGATTCCTCCGTAGGAAACACCAGAAAGGTAGAACTAGTTAGCCTTGAAATCTGAGAATTTCTAGAAGAACTCCAAATTTACATTCAGATTTCCATAAGAAATGACTTAGTAGTAGTAAATTGTAGTTTTTGGGGGATTGTTGTATCCAGTGCCAACAGGAGACTCAATGTACACAACATTAGCAAACTTGTTCCATGAGTATGGGTTGTCTTGTGGCATGAAATCAGCATCGTCAATGAATGCACAAGGCCCATGCTCAGCAATGTATCCGTTCATACTTGAGCAGCCAGGACCGCCTTCAAACCAGAACACAACAGGGTCAGTAGCTGGGTCTCTAGTGCTTTCGACGAGGATGTCATGGAACTGTTTGCCATCAGCAACATCGAAGTATCCACTGTACTGCTTGAAGTCATCAAGAGAACATCCAGGAGGTGGCTCGGTGGCCAAGGCATTTTTGGTGACAAGTGCAAAGGTAAGTACTAAAATAGGTCGAGTAGTTTAATTTATATTATACGTAATCTCTCCAGTTTTATATAGCATTTAGTTTCACATAGGTTTTATCTCCTTTTTCTGCATGGATTTATACTAAACTAAGAAATTGCCGAACCATAGCTATAACAAATAATTTCTTCAGAGGTTTAATGATTAAGGAACTGATAAATTTCAGTGGCTTTTAACGACCCTTTTATTTCAAATTCTTTGGTGATGATTCATTGAATAATTCCTGAAATTAGCAGAGTAATAATGTTTCGCCTAAATCAACTCTCCGGCTCCTCATTGGGGTTTTGGGGTTTTGGGGTTTTGGGGTTTTGGGG